CGACGGTACCTATTGCAAATTACACTGCAATCAACCGCTTTATACACTAGTTATTTATGAATAACCGAGATCGGTGGGGGAGGGGGGGTCTGCTCGACCCCCCTTCCTCTTAAGTGTAAGTGCAATACTCAACCCGCGACCGCCTGGGGGGTCGGATTCGACCCCCCTCCGTTTTTCTTGAATAACTCATGAACTGCTTACGCTATCAACTTGAAACTTGGCACACCTTCTCCCCCATTAATTTGACGTCTCCTGTGTAATTTTAAAGAAAATTTATTCAATTTTTTTAGATATATCGATTTTAGTCAGTGGCGGATCCAGGGGGGGGGGGGCAAAATGGGCATTTGCCCCCCCCCCCACAAACGGCATGATTTTAACATTACGCCTATGGACGATGCATGGAAAGAATCGATAAATTTTTATGGTTTGCCCCCCCCCCCCAAACCTCTGAGCTGGATCCGCCTCTGATTTTAGTGATGTAACTACATGACGTTTTCAGTCAAAAAGTGGTAAATGTTTAAAAAATCGCCAAAAATCAGAGGTTAAAGCAAATTTCAAATTAAGGACAGGAATAGACGCAGCTCAATGAGTTCTTTAAAATGGCTATCTCGGATTTCCCATAAAATGCGTTTTTCACCCCTAAAAATTCAAAAAACTATATTTTTTTGGAAAACAACTAATAAAATCCAAAATTTTGAGAATTAAAAAAAAACCGGAATACATGTTATAGAGCTCTATTAGAACATTAGATGTCTCAAATTTCAACATTCTATCTTGATTTTTGACCCCCAAAAGGTAAAAATAGCTCCAACATGCATAGGGCATGATGACGTCACAAGCATTTTCGTGAATTAGGGGCACTTCTGAACATCGCATGTGAAAACAAATGGCCCCACTAGATTCCTGGGACAAAGCTCGTCTAGAAAAGTGCATTTTTATGTCAAAAATAAAAAGTTGAAAAATTGACCTTTTTTCTTAGCCCTCGTTTAGTTATGTATGGTATAAACGATTTTTTTATGCTTTCAATGCATATTTATCACCAGCTGGGGTCACATATAACCATTACCATCGGATTCCGCGTGAAAAATAAGCCATAAAACATGTGTCGCACGCCCATGTAGCAAAAAATGAAAACCGTGACCTTTCGTGACCTGACCTTGACCCGTACTTAGTATGACCCCTATACGCACATGGTACCTTCACTAGGTCTTTGAGGTCTTTTTTGGTGAGTTTTGAGCAGCAGCTATCGATTCCGCTGTCCGTAAGCCTAATCATGCAAAACTCCGGAATTTGACCTTTGACCTGACCTTGACCCGAAAGTTGACCTCAATCTTAAAACCTTAAGAGTGCTTTGGGAAGGTCTCGTAGAGACCTTTCGAACGCCGCCTCGCGGGGCTCGATGCGACCATTGGTTCTCGAGATAACAGGGGAGGGGGTCGGATCCGACCCCCCCCCCCCCCAGGCTGTCGTGGGTACGGAAATAGCCCAGGCGAATGGGGGTCAACCCAAAAAATGCACACTGTTATTCGATAGGTTGCATGGCAAAAATGGAATTATTGAGGGAGGGAATCCGGGGCCCCGTAACCCCCGGTGGCGAAGACGATGGTAGAGCCCCTGTGAACAGAAGCCGAATCCCTGGGGTGAGGCCTATCAACGGGACGGCCCTTTATCCCCATGGGGATAAAGACGCATTACGTTAGCCGTTATCCGCTTTGAAAACGCCATAACGGCCGACGGTTAGGTGTTTCGCAAGTTTGGCCCGGCGCTACGCACTGTGGTTTCCCTACACACGTAATGACAAAGGCATGAAAGAAGAATATGTGAACAAAAAACTAGAGCAAAGGTTGATTCTCATTTCTGTTCCTACTCCTATTTATAGTACCTACTCCTAGATGGCACTAGCATCGAACGCCTGAAGTTATGCTGTACCGCCGAGCAGGCCGCGGCGGCTGTTGACGTTTCGACATTTGTTGCTGCTCTCGTGCCGGTCGGCCGGAAGCAGTTCAAGACGTGGAGCGGCGCGGGGTGTGAAGTGCTCATGACGGAAAATAATTTAATTTCAAATCCCTACTTATCGGCTAGTGGGGATGCCGGTTTTCGAGATGAAGAGTCATCTGAGAACTCGGACAGGCAAGTATTTACTTGTCTATTCGCTATTTCACGCGGTACCTGCCAATGTTATTGCGCTGGATTCGCCGTACCTTCATGATAAACTGATGCCATTTGTTTATTACCTATTTTTTTGTTAGGTAGGTATATTGAAGACAATTGCAATGTTAAAGAAAAATTCCTGACTGTACTTACTGTGCTATACAGCCAGATTTAGAGACTAGAAAATTGAGATGGATCAGTCGTTTGTGCTGTGTAATGATATCAGCCTTCAAAGTCAATACATATGAATATGAATTGTATTTAGATCCCTAGATGCTAGGCAGGAAAACATATTATTTACACTATAAATTATATGAGATGAATTTTACCTATAATATTACCTTACCATTAGTTTTAGCTCAGGTTAATGAGCTCACTTAGACCAGTGTTAGTCAACTGCTGCAAGTACTTGAAGACTTGACTGACAATTTAGACAAAGGGAATCCCATAGACGTGCTGTACTTAGATTTCAAAAAAGCTTTTGATTCGGTCGCCCATGATAGACTGATTATCACTCTCAGATCTCTAGGAATTAAAGGCAAGCTCTTGAAATGGATAAAAGGTTTTCTAACGAATCGGAAGCAGAGGGTTGTACTCGAAGGGTCAGTCTCTGACTGGACCTCTGTTACAAGTGGAGTGCCCCAAGGAAGTGTCCTCGGACCAACCCTGTTCGTTGCAGCGATCCACTCACTTCCAAACGAGGTCAAGAATACAGTAAAAGTCTATGCTGATGACACCAAAGTTTACAGGCCAATAGCTAGTGGTCAAGATGCTGAACAATTACAAGAGGATCTGGACAACATGTTGAGATGGTCAACTAAATGGCAACTGCCCTTCAACACTGCAAAATGTAAGGTAATGCACATCGGCAACACAAACCCAAAGCTGGATTACACCATGGCGGGATACAAGCTGGAAAACACAACCCAAGAAAGAGATCTTGGAGTCATAATCGACGATTCTCTCCATTTCCATGCTCATACCGACGCAGTGGTAGCTAAAGCCTATCAGACCCTCGGAGTAATCAAGCGTACTTTCCTGAAGCTTGATGAATCGACCCTGCCACTGGTTTATAAAGCGATGGTACGGCCAGTTCTCGAGTACGCAAACACCGCCTGGGGACCTCTATTTATTGGAGACCAGTGGAAGGTTGAGAAAGTCCAGAAGCGAGCAACAAGAATGATAACAGCTATCAGGCACCTTCCGTACAATGAGCGACTCAAGAGACTGAGATTACCCACTCTGCAGTACAGGCGGGACAGAGGAGACATGCTAACGGTTTACAACTTGTTCAATGGCAAAATCAGAATGGACTGGTCCAACTTCTTCTCAATGGCTCCAGAAGATGCCCCAACCAGAGGCCACTCCAAGAAACTGAGAAAACCAGCAGCAAGCAGAGCTCTCCGACAACGTTTCTTCTCACATCGAGTCGTCAATCTCTGGAATAGCCTGCCAGAGGACGTAATCAACTGTGACACAACAAACAACTTCAAAAAAGAACTTGACAAACACTGGAAGGACAGAATGTACAATGTATGATGGAACAGAGGAAAAGAAGAAAACAATGATAATCCAGTAATGAGTGGGAAAACCACAGGTTCTTCTGATCCTATTTTCTTCCCAATATCCCAGTATACCAGTATACCAGTATACCAGGGCTCTGTTTGGGCACAGTTTTTTTATCTGCAGGCTGCAAGCATGCGGCTGGTTCTTGGCTCCACATTGGTTGAATTCACATGGTCTATTCATTCGACCAATGAGAGGCCAAGAAGCACCAGCAATAACTTCCTTATATGGGAAAACCGACAGCACGCTGAAATAAAAACAGCGACCGAACAGAGCTCTGGGTATATTTTTATTTAATGCACATTGACAATTGACGTGGTGTGATAAATTTCAAGATTTGGATACCGTGAGTCCAATGTTTGAATTTAAGGTTCTTTCTGGTCCCACAAAGGCTCAGGAATCATTCTCCTTAACAAATATGTACTCTGGCAGCTGGAATCTACCAGTTTTTTGTGCTCCCTTGGTTTAAAAATGTAAATGTTGTACCTACATTATGATTAAGTTTTGCTTACCAACCAATTATGATTGTTGTGAATTACCTGATTCAATCTGATTTTGAAAAATCAAATGGCAATGACAATCTCACATATTGTTATTTAAATCCACAACAAGCCCCAATTTTACCTCCAATGCACATCTCCAGTTCCATGTCTGCATCCTGATCGAGCAGCTGACAAATATATGCCAATTCATCCATGAGGCATACCTACATACCACAAAGGTCAGTTCCACTCACAGCACATATACCTAAATCTGGATGCTTACTGGTCTCTGGCCAGATTGTACTCTCCAGGGCTCCAGGCTCAGTACATAACTAAAATGAGAGGAATTTGAAAATGGAATCCCAAATGTATTGATGTAAATGAAAAATTACTTCAATAAGGATACAATGTAAATGGTAGGCAAATATGCCCGATTTTTGTGGTTTCTTACTGATTCCATTGCTTTTTTTAAAGCTGTCAATAGATTTTGCAGAGACTGTACATTTGCAGACTATTCCACATCATGAGTGACCTAAAACCATGGCCAGTCATCTCAGTATCAACTGTCAAGGATCCCTGTGCTGTGCTGGAGGGCACTTCAAAGTTCAATGCAACTGGGCTATTGGCTTCTGGCAGCTCTGAAGCCCATCCTCTGCACAATGATTTAACCTTTAACCTGAAACAGGTTTTCCATTTTCTGCTCACTTCCAAATGTATTGGTATTTTGTTATGGCGAACTATCTATGAGCCAAGGTATCATGATCAAGATCTCTAGGAAAAGCTGTACATATTCAAACTCAGATGGCAGAGCACCTCACACCCCAAGGGTGAGCTCAGGGTTGAGCACGCTGGTGTTCATTCATACAAATCATTTCAAGCTGGGTCAACTGGGATATTGTTTTATTATTTTACTAGAGCAGCCCATGGGCATTTAATTCAGGGGATTGGATTCACTGTGTGAGTCCGTGGGCATGCTGAATTGTTGCTTCTAGATTCTCCCAGCGATCCAACGGCTCCAGCGGGGTGGAGGTGAGCGTCAGCCGGCTCCCCGGCACGCCGTGACGGGCTCCTCCTCCTGCTGCAGGTCCGAGCCGCCGGTCTGGGCGTCCCCGGTAGACTCGCGCGGGGAGCTCTTCTACGCGGAGGTGGAGGAGGCGCCGGTGAGCGCGGCCGGCGGCCCGGCCGAGCCGCCGCCGCCGCCGCCGGTCAGCGGCAAGCTGCAGCATCTGCTGCGCCGGCGGCGCTCGCAGCGGGCCGGCCGCGCCGAGCTGAGCGCGGCCGCGCCGCTCTCGCCGCAGCGCCGCGCGCCGGCCGGCCCGTCCGAGAGCGGCGCGCCCGCCGGACCCGGAGAGGTGAGAACGACCGGCGGCTGTCGGCGGGGATTGTCAGCCGAGCCGGCACCGTCTGGTCCGCACGGCTGTCTCCACTGCATCTCTAATTTCAGCACTCGCCCGTCGGTAGTCTTCAGCAATGTCAGCATTTACCTGCTGAATGCTTAATCAGAAGGCGTAGTAACGCTGAGTGATTGACTATATAGTCAACGAAAGCCTAAGTCATTGACTAGCTAAAGTGCACGCACGTCTGCCTAATATGTCAATATACTTACGTAGAATCAGCCCGTTGGCGTCTCTAGTTATTGTTGGGTACATAAGGCATGGACGTGGCTGACTATTACGTTACTGTGGTTCGTGGCTCGCTAGCCCATTCGTTTAGGGACCGGCTTTGTTGGCCGCTGCATTGTGACACCAGCGCAGTTATATTCATAGGGCATCATTGACACCCTAATGTTCATGTCTTCCGTCATGGTCGTAATTTTGTTCCGGTCTTCGGAAAGTGCATGGCTGATGTATTATTAATGTGGTGCATTGAATACCAAGTGGACTCACCGCTGCGCTATCGCCTCATTAGCCCTAAGATCGGCCATCTCTAATCACTGCTTTAGTCTCGCTGCTTCCTGTATTAATTCGTGTCTCTGCCTAAAGCAGGCATGTCATGAATTATATTTCCAATATCTTTTCATTGATAAAGCAAAATTTCCGTTAGAAATCACTTATCTTGTTGCCAAATGACTGACGATTGTTTTTCTCTTATCTTGATGCATAGTTCCATGACTGACGATGTTTTTTATCTTGACACAGAATTCCAGCTTTATAAGAAGTTATAATGTACCGTTTCTGTGACATGCCTCGACGTCGACTCGTGTGTAGACGCCGTCCATTTACTCCCGTGTGTGCGCGGTGCGGTCCCTGAACTGCCGCCTCTGCGTGCTGCAGGTGTACCGCGTGGTGGTGAGACTGGACGCCGGTCGGCCGGCCGCCGTCCAGCACGGTCCGCTCTGTGAGAGCGTGCTCGGACTGATCGGCTACCACCAGCTGGGGCCTGCCGAGCCCGCCGGTGCCGTCAGCGTGGCCGCCCTGGCGCCGCGCGGCCCGCTCGTCCGCGGCGGGCAGGTGCACATCGGTGAGTATCGGCCGGGTAGCTCGTGCAGTGTCGGAGGGGCGAGGGGACGGGCTGTGTGCTCAGGGTGGCGGACTCCGTGCAGTGTCCGGGGAACGGACAATAGCTGCAGACAACGGAGCGCACTGACGGGTAGTTCTCCGGACTGTCGGTCTGTTTAAGCTCATGACCGGGAAGTCAAGTGGGCGACTGGGCTACTTTAGAGCCTAGGGAGTCGCGCTTCGATGCTTGTCAGCTGTATGCTATGGTTTTACCTATGACTGGCGTTTGGGATTAGCCTCTAGTTAGTCTCCTCCTGACAGGTAGTCAGCTGCACTTTAACGAATTAGCCTAGCTGTGCCGAGGCAGACTAAATCCACTTTTGTTCATATTTTTCCTTTTGCAGACGTAAATTGTTCACTGTGCTGTGAGTTGCCGGGGGACACATCGAATGTACTGGTCTCGTGTCCTCTGCTCGGCCGTGCAGTGGCGTTCTGTTGTCTGATCCAGCCAGCTCCGTCTCGGCCTTTTTCTTCCTACTCTCCGTCATCCCATTTCGGTCACATCCGCGGCGCCCGCTGCGGTGCCGAAGATGACGGTCGGACGCGCCGGCCGGCCGCTCGGACGCGCCGGCCGGCCGCTCGGCTGTTTGTTTCCATAACTCGGCGGAGGCCGGCGCGGCGGCCCGGCGGCGCGTATGCCGGTCACGGCGCCGGGCTGCGGGCGCCGTTTCATTGCGCCTCTCCGGCGGCGGGCTCCGCATCCCGAGGACGTCGGCGGCCGAGTGCGCCCCGTTCGGCGGACAGAAGTGTGCCGCGCCGCCCGGACGGGATGGTGTGTCGCTATTGGTCGGCACAATGGATTCCTGGGAGAGCTGCCGTCCTATCGACGTGGGATTTGTCGGGTCGCTGTAATGGTGGATAGGAATTGACGCCTCCGGTTGTCTGGTTTCACTCTAAGTGCTTATGAGTTTCGTATACACTGGGGCGGAATTTTATTGATTTGTTGTGTTTTAGACGAAGCCATTTCACAACGAATTTGATAGAAGCTGTGACGGACCAGATACGTTTATATATCGATAAATATCTTCCAGTGGAAGAGCTGATGATGAATCAAATATTTCGCCATAATGAAAGAACCTTTAAACGTGTATTTGTCTCGCGGATTTTATTTTTAGTTGTTTGTTTGCGACCGCTGAACTTTGCAAAACAGGCGATCGATTTTCATTCTTTATTATTATCAGTATAAATTTGCATACATTTGGTTTAAACGAATAAACAGATGTGTTGCGCAATTTACTGGTATGATGAATAGAAGAAGATCGCCTCGGTGGACAAACGAGTCCGCTACATCATGAAAATCGATCATGAATTGCCCACGTAAGTAACGTTAGCCAGCCGTGTAAGCGATTGCAGAAACGTAATTTGATCTATGAAATGTGCATCACAATTTACTTAACGTAACGTACCTAACTCATGACCTCCAAGATGGATGCCAACGATGCCAACAAGACTAATGACGAAACTTCGAGCTACAAGTCTCACCGATCGAGTTATACGACGGTATCACGAGCGTCTGCGAGATCGGTCAGAGCTGCTAGTACACGACTGCGGCAGCTAGAAGAGCAGCAACGGCTTGAAGCAGCAGCCGAGGAATCTAGAAGACAGCTGGCGGAAACGAAACGACAGCTGGAACTAGCCAGAGCAAGACACGCGCTGGAACTTGCCGAGATCGACGAACAAGATCAGGTAGAAATGGAGGAATGTGCACGATCCCTCCGTCATTCTTCTCAAGACGTGACACTGTGTGACCTGACGAATGCCATTGAATCCCAGCCAGAGAACGACAGTCGCCGGACATCAACTCGGCTGGAACCTGCAGGGTCGCACCGGCCGGAGCCAGACTCACTCCAGTCTGAGCCGGTCTCGCACCGACCTGAGCAGGTCTCGCACTGGCCTGAGCCAGTCTCGCACCGGCCAGAGCCACCCTCGCACCAACCTGGACCAGACTCACACGTACTTGAACCAGTCTCACACCGTCCTGATTCAATCTTCATCGTGAGAGAAACCCCCAAACTGGACATTCTGCCCTTCGATGGAAAGTACAGCCGCTATCCATTTTTCAAGCTTCAAGTCGATGAAGCCATGAGATCCGGCCAGTTCACCGACCTGCAGATAATTCGCCATCTGCGGGACAGACTCAAGGGGCCGGCCTTTGAAGCGGTACACGGAGCTCTCCTGTCTGGGTGTCCTCTGCTGAGGATTATGCACGCGCTCGAGTCTCGCTTCGGGAACCGCCTGCAAGTGACGAACGCCGTAACGACTCAGCTCCTGAACTTCGACACGATACGATCGAGCGACACAGAACTGCTCTCTCAGTTCGGCACGGCAGTGTATAACGCTATATCAACTCTTCAAGCAGTCGGCTTTGAGAGCGAGTTGGACAACTTGCGCACGCTGCAGTTGTTGACGGGAAAGCTGCCACTAGAGAGCCAGCAAGCTTGGGGCGCCTACGCTCGGCGCCGATGTGAAGACGGGAGGAAGCTGTCGTGCGGTCTTTTCCACGAGTTTCTGGAAGAGCACATAAAGGATCGACAGTATGGCGTCATCGGCAGCAGCCTGCAATGCCATCCGTCACATGATGTCAAGAACCGCTCCGGCAGTCGCGGACGCACGAGCAGACGCGACCGTCACGAGCACCAACGAGAACGCCATGGCTACCATGGGGCCGGCAGGACGAGCCGCCCACCTGCCGAGCCTCCCACCTCTGTGTACGCAGCCAACGGATCTGCCCAGGGAACCCAGGGAGCCACAGCGCGTCTCCCAGTGGCCTGTTTCTACTGTGGCCAAAATCACTACATAGCTCGCTGTGAACAGTTCCAGAGACTGACACCGAAAGACAGACTGTCGTGGGTTAATACGAAGAAAGCCTGCGTCCGCTGTCTCAACACATCCCACCAGTCATCTGACTGTCACCGAACAGGACCGTGTGGCATAGAAAACTGCACGCAACATCATCATCGACTTCTACACCCGGCTCAAGGAAGCACGACTGTGATCAACGCGGCGAAGGATGGACACACGTCCATTCTGATGAAAACGGTCGTCATCGAAGTCTCCGGCTCCACAAAACGAAGGTGCGTCGCCTTCCTGGACGAGGGAAGCTCAGTCACGCTCATGACTGATAAGCTGGCACAGGAACTGGGACTTCACGGGAAGCGTCAAAATCTGCGCATCAAGACAATGTCTGGACTGACTTCAGTCAACTCGTGTGAACTCACCCGGGTGACCATCGAGAACATCCATACCGGTTCAACACACCTGCTGGATAAGGTGGCTACTGTTCCCGAGCTGCAAATAGACAAGAATCCCGTGACGGCAAAACAGCTGAAGCGCATGTTTCCCGAGATCGAAGAAATTGGGATCAAACAGCTGGATGAGCCGCCTCAGATGCTGATTGGCCTTGACCACGCGGAGCTCATCGCCACTCAGAAGATCATCAAGACGTCGAAGAATGGTCCTCTGCTCCAGGAAACGAAACTGGGATGGACCATAACTGGGCGCGTCATCGCTACGGAAGACACCGAGACAGAGTGCGTAAACTTTCTGAACAAATCTCTGAACATGTATCGGGACGACAGCGCTGGCAGCGCCGCCTACTCAACCGACAGAGACTGCAGTGACATCTGCACGGCTGGGAGTGCTGGCGATCTGAGCGACATCTGGAGAACAGAGCACTTTGGCTGCAAGTATGCCTTCAGTAAGCCGCACAGCCCAGATGACAGGAAAGCGGAAACGATGTTACAAGAAGGGGCAAAATACGACGGAACAAGATGGACAGCCCCGCTTCTGCTCAAAAACGAAGATGAGAAGATGCCTGAAAGCCGAACGATGGCAGAACAGAGAGCCATTGCCTTGGAAAAACGACTGGATCGCTCTCAGCAAAAGAAAAACGGCAAAACACCAAGTCTCGCCGAGCTGGTGTACGAAAAAATGGAGAGAATGGTATCAGACGGCCATTTTCGAAAACTGAGTGAAAATGAAGCCCAAGAAGGACACAAGAATGTCTGGTATCTCCCACTGCTCGCGGTGCAAAATCAGAAGAAGCCGAACAAGGTGCGCCTAGTGCTAGACGCTGCCGCGAAGAGCAATGGCAAGAGCTTGAATGACTTTCTTCTCCAAGGGCCAGACCACATGAACTCTATACCGGGGATTCTGTGCCGCTGGCGGGAGAAAAGAGTAGCAGTGACCTCTGACGTCATAGCTATGTTCAGTCAGATCAAAGTGCGAGAAGAAGACCGACCACTTCTGAGATTTCTGTGGCGGGGCTCACGTCGCACGGGCCGATTTGATGTGTACGAGTCTCCGGTGGTTATTTTCGGTGCCGCCTGCTCACCAAGTATCGCTGAGCACTGCTTCCGGCGCACGGCGGACGAATTCACCGAAGACGAGGCAGTGAAGACAGCCGTATGAGAGGACGCCTACGTGGACGATATTGTCACCGGTACAGGCACCGAACACGAGGCAGTGAAACTGATTGACAGCGTCACAGAAACACTCAAGAAAGGAGGCTTCAAGCTGGGCCCGTGGGCCTCAAACTCTGAAGAAGTCCTCCACACCGTCCAACAGGAGCAAGAACAGCAAGACAGTCGGCTGCAAAGAACGTTAGGAGTCGGCTGGGAAGCTCGCCTCGACACTCTAACCTATGAGCCAATCGCTCCGCCGGAACAGCTAACGAAGAGAACACTTCTATCGACAATGATGTCGGTGTACGATCCGATTGGATTCTTGACAGGATTCCTCCTGAGAGCGAAGGAGCTGTTGCAAGTCCTGTGGAAGTCAAGCGTCAAATGGGACCAAGAACTACCGAGTGAAGTCCAGCAGAAGGTGAAGATGTGGATGGATGAGCTGACGCAGACGAGAGATCTACACATCCCACGTCACATCTTTCGTCAGGAGGCCGGCATCTCTTCTGTCGATCTGCACGCGTTCTGCGACGCAAGCGAGATGGGGTTCTGTGCAGTG